AAAGAACATTTGCGACCAACATACACTAAATCTCTCTCTCTCTCTCTCTCTCTATCTATCTATCTATATCTCTCTCTCTTTATATATATATATATATATATATATATATATATATATATATATATATATGCTCGTTATTCCTGTCTTTCTTTCCACCTCTCACTCAATCGCGTTTTTCCCCCCTTTCATGCATACACTTTTACATAAATTTGGTTATTTAAACCTGGAGAGATATTTGATTTGTAAGTTTGATGAATTGGGGCCGTTTTTTTGCGACCCTAATGAAATAAATATACCTTATGAAAGTTTAAGATTTCGTGTCTTTATTAATGATATGTGTGCGTGTGTGTATGTGTGTGTGTGCGTGTTTGCGAGCGCTTGTGAATCTGTATGTGTGTGTGGCATAAATTTTATAAGTACAGAAAAGGAAATCTCTTTCCACCTTGCTATTAAACTACAGCCTCTATTCTTAATGCAGATTCCCAGGGCTTGTTGGCTCAGGACAAACTTCTGGGCCGAGTTAATATCTACATGGAACACCCACCCCCAACCTCACACACCGTAAAGCGAACCTTTAAAAAGATTGTCTCGCTTTTAGCTGTAAAGACAGCCGATTCTGTTCGGCGCTCCATTTCATTCGCCTTGTGCCAGCCTGGATTAATTTAAAAAAAAAAAGAACATGTCTGCACGATCAAGTTCTTAATAGCTTTGTAAATCATGGAACCTTTAGTTAGGTTGTAATAAATTGGAGTTCAAAAAACGCTCAACGTCAAAGAAACGCGCAAATACACGCGCGCATACATTTACGACTACGGCTGCTGCGTCTTATGTAGTGTTATATATGCACACAGATCTGATGTAACGCGAACTGCTGTAGGTAAAATCGTAAACAGATAGAAGCCCAAACTCACGCACACACAAACATTATCAGACAGACCTAGCGAGCGCACATGTGAGCGGGTTTAAACGCATACGATCTTGCGCATGCGCAATTGTAAGTGTCAGTTCGAAACTAGATCGGCCTCATCGAAGGTCATAGTGATCTGAAAGAAATCACCTAGGCCGAGTTCAATACGTCTCCGTCGAACGCACACATTCGATACTACCATTCCTTCTACAACAATATCCGTCCTTACTCTCCTTTTCTTCTTCTTCTTCTTTCACTGCTCTCCCCGTTCCTGGATGCTGTTCACTTTCTTGTTTAATAACTAGGAGGAATGTTTATTTATTTATTTATTGGAGCAGAAGCGAGGCTCGTTGTGTCTCTTTCTTTTTCCACGTCAGATGTCTGTCTCTCTTTTTCTCTACATTGTTTTATTATTATTATTATTATTATTATTGTTTTGTTTTTTATTGTTTTACTTTTATTGGTAGCGTATTCTAGGCTTTTCCTCGATAAAATAATCATCTTCTTGCTCTATTTCTTCTTTTTCGTCTTCTTCTTCGTCGTCTTCGCCTTCTTCTTTTACTTCTTCTTCTTCTATTCTTCTTCTTCCAATTTTCTTCTTCTTCTTCTTCTTCTTTTTCTTCTTCCATTCTTCTTCTTCTTCTTCATGTTCCATTCTTCTTCTTCTTCTTCTTCTTCTTCTTCCATTCTTCTTCTTCTTCTTCTTCTTCTTCTTCTTCTTCCATTCTTCTTCTTCTTCATGTTCTATTCTTCTTCTTCTTCTTCTTCTTTCTTCTTCTTCTTCTTCTTCTTCTTTTTTTTTCTTCTTCTTCTTCTTCTTCTTATTTCATTCTTCTTCTTCTTCTTCTTCTCCATTCTTCTTCTTCCATTCTTCTTCTTCTTCTTCTTCTTCTTCTTCTTCTTCATTCTTCTTCTTCTTCTTCTTCTTCTTCCATTCTTCTTCTTCTTCTTCTTCTTCCATTCTTCTTCTTCTTCTTCTTCTTCCATTCTTCTTCTTCTTCTTCTTCTTCTTCTTATTTCATTCTTCTTCTTCTTCTTCTTCTTCTTCTTCCATTCTTCTTCTTCTTCTTCTTCCATTCTTCTTCTTCTTCTTCCATTCTTCTTCTTCTTCTTCTTCTTCCATTCTTCTTCTTCTTCTTCTTCCATTTTTTCTTCTTCTTTTTCTTTTCCATTCTTTTTCTTCTTCTTCTTCCATTCTTCTTCTTCTTCTTCTTCTTCTTCGAAATTCTTCTTCTTCTTCTTCTTCTTCTTCCAATCTTCTTCTTCTTCTTCTTCCATTCTTCTTCTTCTTCTTCTTCTTCTTCTTTCTTCTTCTTCCATTCTTCTTCCATTCTTTTCCATTTTTCTTCTTCTTTTTTCTTTCTTCTTCTTTTATTTCATTCTTCTTCTTCTTAGTCTTCTTCTTCTTCCATTCTTCTTCTTCTTCTTCTTCTTCTTCTTCTTCTTCTTCTTCTTCTTCCATTCTTCTTCTTCTTCTTCCATTCTTCTTCTTCTTCTTCTTCTTCTTCACCATTTATTTCCAATTCTTCATTGGTTGTTGCACTCATTTATCCTTTCTTAAATTTTATTCGGCCTCTTCATTCCATTCTCCTTCTCCTCTTCCTCCCCCTCCTCCTCCCCTCCTTCTATTTTTTGTTTTTGTTTTTGATTGTTTTAATTTTATTTACTCGGTAGCGTATTCTAGGCTTATTCTCGAAAAATAATCATCACCATCTTCTTGTTCAACTTCTTCTTTTCTTCTTCATCTTCTTCTTCTTCTTCTTCTTCTTCTTCTTCTTCTTCTTCTATTTTTTACGGTTTTGTGTTTGATTTTTTCTTTACTGTTATTTACTCGGTAGTGTATTGTAGTCTGTTCCTCGAAAAATAATCGACATCATCTTCTTATTTTACTTCTTCTTCTTCTTCTTGTTTTTTTCTTTCTTTTCTTCTTCTTCTTCTTCTTCTTCTTCTTTTTTCTTCTTCTTTTTCTTCTTCTTCTTTTTCTTCATCTTCTTTTCCTTCTTTTCTTTCTTCTTCTTCTTCTTCTTCTTCTAATATTTCACAACTCAAAGATGCCTTCTTCTTCTTTTTCATCTTCTATTTTTTACGGTTTTGTGTTTGATTTTTTCTTTTCACTTTTATTTACTCGGTAGTGTATTGTCGTCTGTTCCTCGAAAAATAATCAATATCATCTTCTTCTTTTACTTCTTCTTCCGCTTCTTCTTCGTTTTCTTCTTCTTTTTCTTCTTCTTTTCCTTCTTCTTTTTCTTCTTCTTCTTCTTCTTCTAATATTTCACAACTCAAGGATGCCTTCTTCTTCTTTTTTTTTCTTCTTCTTCTTTTTTCTTCTTTTTCTTCTTCTTTTTCTTCTAATATTTCATTTTCTTCGGCATTTATTTATAATTCTTTATTGTTTGATTGATGTACTAATTGTTCTTTCTCATATTTCATACTACTTTTTTTTCTCTTTTTTTAGTTTTTTCCTCTTCTACTTCTTCATCTAATTCGCTTACTTCATTTTTTTTCTTCTGGTCTTTTTTTCCTTTTACTTTCCTTTTTCTTATGTTAATTCCTTTGTTTTTCTTCTTCTTCTTCTTCTTCTTCTTCTTCGTTTCTTTCTTCTAATGTTTCATCGGATATTTCTTTCAGCCATTTTACTACTTTTTTCTTAGAATTCGACTTATTTTTCTCCTTCTATTTCACCTTTTTCTTTTATTCTTGTTTTTGTTCTTTTCCTTCTTTCCTTCCTCTTCTTTTTTTTCTTCTTTTTCTTCTTCCTATTTCCTTCTTTTTCTTCTTCTTCTTCTTCTTTCCTTCTCTATTTTCTTCTTCCTCTTCTTCATTTCTTCTTCTATTTCATCTTATTCTTTTTGTTCTTGTTTTTGTTCTTCTTTTCTTCCTCTTCCTCTTTTTTCTTCTTCTTTTTCTTCTTCTTCTTTCCTTCATCCTGTTCTCTTTCTTCCTCTTCTCCTTTTCATCTTCTATTGCATCTTTTTTTTCATTTTGTTCCGGTTTTTGTCCTCCTCCTTCTTGTTTTTTTCTTCTTCTTTTTTTCTTTCCGTCTTCTCCTTCTTTTTCTACATCTTCTTTTACTTCTTTTCTTCATTTTCTTCTTCTTTTCTCCTTTTACTTTTTCTTCTTTTTCTTCTTGTTCTCGTTTTTATTATTATTATGATATATTCAGCATTGCAACGAAGGATTTTTCATTTTGCCTTTCTCTTCGACATTTTGTTTTCAAAATGGTTTCTTGTTGTTGTTGTTACACTTCTTCTCTGTCATCTTATTTTGCAATTTTCGATTACATCTTTTTCATCTGGAATTGGTCTTATGCCTTTTCTACAACATCTTTTTTCAATTTGCTTCTTCTTCTTCATCATCATTTCCATCTCCATCTATTGGTTCTTCTCTTCTGCTCCCCGTCGTTGCCTTCTCCTTCACCATCTTCTTTCACATTTTCCCCTTTTGCTCCCCCTTTAAGTCTTGTCAACCGCATCTTTTAAGAAAGAAAATTTTCACAACCTCTCATTCCTCCTCCCGATGTAGCTCAGCAATTATTAATATTAATTTTTTTTTTCCATTTTGCTTTCATTCTTATTGGTTTTTCTTGCATAACTTTTGTCACAGTCTTTATATCTATCTATCTATCTATCTATCTATCTATCTATCTATCTATCTGTCTGTCTGTCTGTCACAATCTGTTCATATCAATCTGCTTATCTCAGTCATTTCTTATCAATCTATGTTTATATGATCTATCTACCTATAGATCACGGTTTCTTTGTATCTATCTTCTCTAAGTGTATTTTTTCAGTCTTTCTATATATAATAATCTGTTCATATCTATCTATCTATCTATCTATCTATCTATCTATCTATCTATCTATCTAAATCTGCTCATATCTATCTATCTATCTATCTATCTATCTATCTATCTATCTCAATCTGTTCAGTTCTATCTATCTATCTATCTATCTATCTATCTCAGTTGATTCACTATCTATCTATCTATCTATCTATCTAATGCTGTTCATGTCAATCCATCATTTTATCCATCTATCTTTATTAATATAATACAGCCTGTTTGTATCTATCTATCTATCTATCTATCTATCTATCTAAATCTGCTCATTTCTATCTATCTATCTATCTATCTATCTATCTATCTATCTATCTATCTATCTATCTATCTACTGTTCATTTCTATCTATCTATCTATCTATCTATCTATCTATCTATCTATCTATCTATCTATCTCAGTTAATTATCCATATCTATCTATCTATCTATCTATCTATCTATCTATCTATCTATCCCTGTTCATGTCAACCCATCATTCTATCCATCTATCTATTTATTTATATAATACAGCTTGTTTGTATCTATCTATCTATCTATCTATCTATCTATCTATCTATCTATCTATCTATTTATATATATATATATATATATATATATATATATATATATATATACACACACACATGTATCCCAGACCTGTTCATATGTATACATCTTTGTATTCATCTATCTGTATTCATCTATCTGTTTGTCTATATATATATATATATATATATATATATATATATATATATATATATATATATATATATATATATATATATAAAATATATATATATATATATATATGCATGTATGTATAAATCACAGCCTGTTCATATGTATACATCTTTGTATTCATATGGATACATCTTTATATTCATCTAATGTTTATCAATATATGAGAATATGTTCGTATCTTTCTATCTATCTCTCTTTGTCTGTTCATCTGTCTATCTATCTATTTATCTCTCTAACTCAGTTCGTTCACATGTATCTCTTTATCGATTTCGCTAACTGCCTATCAACCGTTAAATGTCGATATTACAAATATATCAATTTAATACGCGTTTTTTTTTTTTTTTTGCTAAAGCCATAAACTCCATTAGAATTTAACTCTACACTAATGCAATCCAAAGTTTAACTAATAGCATGATGCTCGGCATACCTCTCTCGATCATATCATGTGTATGTATATAGGTATGTATGTATCTATCTATCTCAATTTATTGAACATCTATCTATCTATCTATCTATCTATCTATCTATCTATCTATCTATCTATCTATCTGTCTTTCCTTCGATCAGTCTGTCTACCTAGAAATCAGTCTCTCTTAGTATCTACACAATCTCAGTCTATTCTCATCAATCTTTCTATCTGTAACAATCTATTCATATCTATCTATTCATATCTATCTATCTATCTATCTATCTTTTTATATATATATATATATATATATATATATGTATGTTTATATATATATGTTTATATATATATATGTGTATATATGTGTGTGAAATGTGTGTATACAAATATAAATAAATATATATATGTATAATTATTTTCATATTATATATGGTATTATTAGAAAGCGCTCAATATCAGAGATAGACCTAACATATTTGGTTGGATAGATGTGAGTTTGTAACCTGGGTTTCACTTTTTAGCGATCGAACTAAAGACCATGGTAAAGCGTGAAACCCATATCACAAATATACCTATATATATATATATATATATATATATATATATATATATATATATATATATGTATAAATCACGGCCTTTTATCCATCTATCTATTTACCTATATATCTCGTACGTATTCATCTATCTATCTATCTATCTATCTATCTATCTATCTATCTATCTATCTATCTATCTTTGCCTCATGGCATCTATCTATCTATCTATCTATCTATCTATCTATCTATCTATCTATCTATCTATCTATCTATCCCAGTCTATTGGTATCTATCTATCTATCTCCAGTGTGTTCACATATCTATCTATCTATCTATCTATCTATCTATCTATCTATCTATTCATCTATCTATCCCAGTCTATTGGTATTCATTATCTATCTATCTATCTATCTATCTATCTATCTATCCCAGTCTATTGGTATATCTATCTATCTATTCATCTATCATCTATCTATCTATCTATCTATTCATCTATCTATCCAGTCTATTGGTATCTATCTATCTATCTATCTATCTATCCCATCTATCTATCTATCTATCTATCCCAGTCTATTGGTATCTATCTATCTATCATCTATCTGTTTCACCATAGTAATATCTCTATTTCTGTGCCGATCCTTCAGTTTTTAATTATGTATTTAAGACAATATTTTCGCAGTTTCTTCCTTTCTTTCTTTCTTTCTTTCTTTCTCTTCCTTTTCCTCTCCATCTCAATCTGTCCATATGTCTCAATCTCTTTATATCTATATCTGCCTTTCGGATTTTCTATACATCTTTCTTTCTTTTCTTCTTTCTTTCTTTAAAAACGCCGCTATGATACGCCTGCCATTCCATGCACTGAATATTGCTTTCAAATCTCACCTACTGCTAATAATAATAAAAAAAGAAACAGCCAACACTCAATAAGCATTAACTACGTGCACGGTCAAAATGTGTTGACCGTGTTTGGAAACTAAAACGCTCCTGTAACTTCAGGCACTTACATAAAAAACAGCACTTAGTTAAAGAAAGAAAATAATAATAAAATCTTGATAATTGCTAAGAGAATATCCGAAAGCGCTTGGATATAAAGTTTTACACACTTTGTGCCCAGAAAAAAATAAACGGAAGGAAAATGAATGAATAAAAGTAAAAACATAAGAAAACTTAAATAAAAAGCTTAATCACAGTATCTAGTCACCGTCTTCAAAATAACCTGTATATATATATATGTATAAATTCATGAATTATTCACACAAAAACAAATGCAAAGGTTAATGATTTAATTTATTACTAAGAGAAAAAAAACAAGAACAACATCTATTCCATACCTGAAGATGTCTGTAGGAACAGAGGAAAGCTTGTAGTAAAAATAAGAACTAATACGGCAGAAATTTATAGAAACAAGGATCTTTTCATTCATAACGGATTCGGAGGTTTTTGTATATTATTTGAATTGTTTGCGACGATGGATTTCTCGCCAGTTAAATCATTAACCTTTGCATTTGTTTTTGTGTGAATAATTCATGAATTTGTAAATTGATTGCACGTTTATCGAAATATAATATATATATATATATATATATATGTGTGTGTGTGTGTGTGTGTGTGTGTGTATGTATATATATATATATATATATATAGGAAGGTGTGTCTGTGTGTGTGTGTGTGTGTGTGTGTGTGTGTGTGTGTGTGTGTGTGTGTGTGTGTGTGTGTGTAACGAATGCACGGCTGCAGTTTTCGACGGATTTGCACCAAAATTTACATGTACATGCTCCAAGTTATCGGGAAGGCCAAGACCGACTTTGCATTTCCCAACTCACATCGATAGTGGAAATAATCGATTTTTTTCATGCTTCTACGGCAGTTTTCATGTAGTTTGCGGCCATTTTGTATTGGCCAGAGTGAGAGCCAATAGCTGGCTGCCACGAATAGGCAGGGAGATTCTATTGGCTAGCGTGAGAGCCAACAGCTGACTGACACGAATGTTAACTAGCATGCTAGCATGCAAAAAAATCGATAGCTGCATTCGTCACAAGTGGGAAAAATTTAAATCTGCATGGCACTTTACTCCAATTGGCTCATTCGCTTGCTTAAACTCAATGTTGATTCTGATTCCGCAGAACTGGTTTGAGTGTGAAAAAGTATTTGCTGTTAACATTCTTTTTTCATTCGTTTTTTCCACTTACGAGTCCTTTTTTTAAAGCTGATCGTTTTGTGTTCATTTTGTTTAGTTCTTTTTTCGTAACAGATTTAATGTTTAGTATAGAGCTTAGAAAAAATTCGGAGTGTGAGATAGGCAAGAAGTAAGGCATGTAGCAACATCAGCACGGCAAAGGGCACTCCTTTAAAGGCAAGGAAGGGCAAAAATATTTTAAGTCAAGTGATAGCGATTGCTGTATGAGTCGTACGATTTTTAATCAAGCAGGTAGGCAACGCCGGGCCATGCTGTTATATATATATATATATATATATATATATATATATATATATATATATATATATATATATATGAATTATCCGCAGAAAATTGGTGATACCCACTGAAGTGTAAATTGACAGGTCCGCCTATGAATCTCTGGAGACGGATGCTGAATGTATCATTAATCATCTAAGTGATGTTTTTACTTATATTAATTTCTCTCTCTATATATATATATATATATATATATATATATATATATATATATATATATATATATATGAGTGTGTGTGTTTGTGTGTGTGTGCATTTAGGCAGCAATCCTTCTTTCATGCACATTTCATTGAATACGACAAACAAGTTGCATTTATTTAGCTTTTTATACAATGTCTCATGCGATCTCATAATTTTTTCTTTCCAGATGATAAATTATATAAAAACTGTCCGAATGTTCTTTTTATTCGAGCGCTTTCGGCTATACATTTAGCCATTTTCAAGGATTAAATATTTTAACTGTTAAATAAGAAATAGTTTGTTGTATGTATGTTTTATAAAATGTTTTCATTTTTCAAAACACGGTCAAGATATTGTCTCCATGTTCATAGTTAATATTATCGAGTGTTGTTGTTTTTTTTTGTTTTTATTAATATGCCTTCCATTATTTTTAGCCATTTTTGCATGTAGATGATGCTATTATATTAGTGTTGTCAATAAGTATGTTACGATTAGTGTCCGTTAGGTTTCCATGACTATTTAAATGAGATCTAATTGAGCTATGATAAGAAAGGTGTAGAGTGAGTCTGCTTGTCAAACATGTTGTAGTGTGGCTTATATAATTTATACGAATTTTGATTGATCAGGAATTCAATTCCTTAATGGGCATTTACATTCGTAAGTAATATTTGCTCTATTTAATTTTGTTCTGAGAGGTGAATCATTATTTTTACTTATAAGGTTAGAGGTTTTAAATTTTTTGCAATAAATAATTAATCTAAATTTTTTGCTTTTGTCAGCTGGTGTTTTTTATAATATTCTTATTTCTAATTTCGTCTTGTTTATAATTTTCGTTCATTTGGTATTTTTAAAAATATTAATGTTATTAATGGCAGAAGAAAAAGAAGAAGGAGGATGAGGAAGAGGACTACGAGGAGACGGAAGAAGAAGAAGGAGGAGGAGGAGGACTAGAAGAAGAAGAAGAAAGGGGAGGAAGGACTAGGAGAAGGCGGAAGAGGAAGAGGAAGGTGGAGGAGGAGGACTAGGAGAAGGCGGAAGAAGAAGAAAACGAAGAAGAAGAAAGAGGAGGAGGGGAGGACTAGAAGGCAGAAGAAGAAGAAGAAGAAGAGGAGAAAGGACTAGGAGAAGGCGGAAGAGGAAGAGGAAGAAGGAGGAGGAGGACTAGGAGGAGGACTAGGAGGAGGCGGAAGAAGAAGAGGAAGAAGAAGAAACAGGAGGAAGGACTAGGAGAAGGCGGAGGGAAGAAGAAGAAGAAGAAGAAGAAGAAGAAGAAGAAGAAGAAGAAGAAGAAGAAGAAGAAAGAGGAGGAAGGACTAGGAGAAGGCGGAAGTGGAAGAGGAAGAAGGAGGAGAAGGAGAACTAGGAGAAGGCGGAAGAAAAAGAAGAAGATGGCGGAGTAGGAGGACTAGGAGGAGGCGGGAAAAAGGAGGAGGAGGAGAAGGAGAATTAGGAGGAGGCGGTAGAAGAAGAAGAAGAAGAAGAAGAAGAAGAAGAAGAAGAAGAAGAAAAAAAAAAATGATGATTTTTATTGAGCTGACCAAAGATTGGATTTTACAGTAATCATTTATTATTTTCTACCAAAGGATTATATCCATAATTTTTACGATTTTTAAAAATCCCTCGTCCTTAGATGTTTATGAACCTCCACAGATACACTTTCAGAGGTTATGATTTCTTGGCAAATATAGTGGAGCAGTTTCCCGTCGCCCAGACACCGGTTTTAAATTCAGACTTTATTTGAGACATTAAAAAAAAAAAAATCTCTTGTAAAAATGTAACTATCTAGGAAATGTTTTAACTGACGATGAAAAATGCGAATATTAAGTAAAGTCTAACGAAATTGAAAAAACTTCATCGAAAATAAAGTAAAAAATGACTGAATTGTTATGTAATATCGGCCTTCTTATAAGGTAGTGATTGCATGACAGATGGAAAAGAAACCAGAGAGAATTATGATAAGGTTATACAGAAGGATGCTGAGAATATCATGTGTGCAGCGACGAGGTTTTAGAGAAAACGTAAGCAAAAAAAATAAAAAATAAAAAAATATCTATACGTACATCATAGTTGAAATATATAGGGCATATAATTGAGGAAAGAATGTGCGGAAAATTTGAAACTCACAGGACATACTGATGGCAAGGGGGAACAGAAGAATGCAGCGCAAAACAAATTATTGACAGGATCGGGATTAGGAGAGATAGCAAATGGACAAATTTTGCTCAAGGCTACAGATTACAGGACGTAGTGGAGGGCCATGTGCGGCTACGTTTTGAAAGGAAATTATTGCGAAACTGAGCAACAAAATTTTACTGTGAAACTGAATAGGTCTGATTTTGAACTCGGTTCGATGATTCAGCATTTCATGTCGATAACCCCTACGCTACGCGCATATCTCTGCCTTTCTATAAATACTTTCATGGTGATTGTTCGGATGAGTTCTTCGCTTTTGTACCTAGATTATTTGAGTTTATGCGGAATACAATACAGGCGTCAAGATCTCATCAATTTACAGCTGAGCAGGCTAGACTTAGCAGTAAGCTAACAGTTTCTTTTCTCACACTTCTCACTTGTGGAACTCTCTTCTGGCTCCATGCTTTCCAGCCAACTTTAATCTGCAAAAACTTAAATGCAATGTCAATCGTTATCTACTGTCCTTCTGATTTCTCTTTTCTCTTCCCGCTCATTATTAATGTTTCTCTTCCTAGTTCTCTCACACATTATAATCTCTTGCGTCTTAGTGGCTTTATTGCCTTACTTGTAAAACATCCTTCCGGCTCCATGCTTTCCAGTCAATTTTAATCTCCACAAACTTAAATGCAATGTCAATCGTTATCTACTGTCCTTCAAATTATTCTTTTCTCTTCCCGTTCATTATTAATGTTTCTCTTCCTAATTCTCTCACACATTGTAACCTCATGCGTCTTAGTGGCTTTATTGCCTTGCTTGTAAAACTCGCTTACGGCTCCTTGTTTTCCAGCCAACTTTAATCTGCAAAAATTTAAATGTAATGTCTATCGTTAACTACAGTCCTACTGATTACTCTTTTCTCTTCCCGTTCAGTATTAATGTTTCTCTTTCTAATTCTTCCACTCGTTGCAACCCCTTACGTCTTAGTGGTTTTATTGCCTTGAGCACGGTGGAGTAATGGATAGCGGCTTGGATTGA